CTTCTGGGATTTGGCACCGTGTATATGTGGTGTTAACCGACGTTTCGGAGGAACGTATCGCCTCCATCTTCAGGGTAGACAGTCTGCTTTTACCGGTTCTCACGGTCTCTTCGCTTTGCAGATTTCTAATATTTTTTCTTCTACCCTGAAGATGGAGGCGATACGTTCCTCCAAAACGTCGGTTAACACCACATATACACGGTGCCAAATCCCAGAAGACTGCTTTCTTCATTTTGTAGTCTGATTCAATTTTTATATTTATTGATACTGTTATTAACAACGAAGTAACTCGCTCGTTGATATTGATATTCAAAACGTTACAGACAAACTTTGCCTTATGTCCTTTACTAATTAGGAAATTTTCTAGTGTTAATTAATGAATTAGATGTACACAGTTTCAATTAGAGATCAGGTATCATCGCATAGCTACATCATGGACCGTATTGTGGTTAGTTAAGTAGCACGGCGAGTTCTTTACGTACTGTAGCAAAACTGTGTTAGGGCACTCCACTTGAACTGCCTGCAAAATAACAGAGGATGCGTCATACACTGAGAAATCCGTCTCGAGAGTTATGCCTTCTGGGATATAACGCTATGTAGTCCGTTGAAAATCGACCGACGTTTCGGAGGAATATGCCTACAATTTCAGGATCGAAGAATAAGTCAAGCACGAAATCAGAAGATTTTGCTACAGGCTTCATGCTGATTTCCTGCTTGGATTATTTTTCGACCTTGAAGATGGAGCCGATAGTATCCCCCTGAAAGCAATCGATTGATTTTCAAAAGCCTACACGCCATTATATTCGCAGAAGAGACAACCCATCATATCGACAACTGTGAGAGACTCAAGTGCTATCTAGCTACCGACCCACCCACTCACACATCTATCCAACTGTCTGTCTGTCCGTCCGTCTGTCCAACCATCTATTTATTTATTTAATCTATATAAGGCTGTACAGTCCTTGCGGACCTTGGCCAGTTTTCAGTTTCTTCATCTATGTCGGTAGGACTCCTAAGAAGGGGGATCAGCCAGTCGCATGGACGCTACCTACATACAGAACACAAACAGAGAAAATGAGCACACAGAATGCTTCGAGTGGGATTCAAACCCATGATACCAGCGTTCGAGCGGCCGAAGATGGTTCATGCTTAAGACCGGGAGGCCACTGTGATCGGTCAAATTGTACCTAGGTCCTCTCTATTGCACAGAGATTTCTAGTACGGAAATTTCGGTTCTCACTGTACGTTATAAATGAAATCTATTTCCTTACCGATGACGTAACGATACGCGTCACTATTTGATGAACCAGCACCGCAAGTCAAGTGTTCAAATATTCCTACTCGGGTCGGGTAAAAAAAGTGGGAAGAAATGAGTGTTTGGGCGACTACTCATCATACCAGTACAGCAGAAACGTAGGATGACGCTTACGTCAAAGTAGAGCAGGCGTCTGAACATCCATCGGCAACACGCGGTACACAGTTTCTGACAATCTTATTTTGTTCTTTATTTAATGAACGTTGTCACTATCTGAACCAGGCTACTGGTGAGCTGAAGGCATCTGTCAAGGCTGACATTCATACCCAACACTCCAAATGCGAGTCTATATCAGTATTGTCACACCAACCAGGTCGATGGTTCGCCAGATGGCTGTACTTTTTATTGCTAGTGGGAAGGGACTAAGTACCTTGTACTGCGGCCACTTCTGGCCTATTGTACCAGCCCCAGATGATAGGTGAGGGTGATTGTGGAGCAATTGCTGGAATGAAGATTGGCAGGGGAAACCGAAGTACTCGGAGAAGACTCGCCCCAGCGCCACTTTGTCCACCACAAATCCCACTTCACCCGACCCGGGATCGAACCCGGGCCGCCGCGGTAGGAAGCCAGCGTCTAACCGCCTGAGCTATGGCGCGGCCCTCAGATAGGTGTATGTTTCTAGGCTGTGGACCTCCGTAAAAAAAAATTATTTTAACTTTGGCGTAATGGCTCCCTGTTGAATGTAAGAGGTAAAGGGTAAAGTTGTCCCTGTGCTTAACTAAGTAAGCACTATGCCATGAAGGCGTATAGGGGGGTGGAAGAATAGATCCAAAATTTTCTTGACCTCTGCATTAGCTGGAGGTGTTTGATCACTTTCACGCTCTGGCCGCCCTACCACCGGGGTAAGAGCCCCGGTACGCATTGGATAAAAGGTTTGGTGGACCCCACAGCCGGTCTGGACGACGTAGAGAAGAGAAAATTCTTGATCCTATCGGGACTCGAACTCCGACCCCTCGGTCATGCATCCCATAGCCACTCGCTATACCAACTGCGCTATCCCGGTTCCTCCCTGTTGAATGTATCCTTTATTAACAACGCTCTGTCTTACTTAATGTATCGGCCGCGCCACAGCCCAAGCGGTTAGTCGCTTGCTTCCCACCGCGGCGGCCCGGGTTCGATCCCGGGGTCTAGTCAAGTGGGATTTGTGATGGACAAAGTGGCGCTTGGGCAAGTTTTCTCCGAGTACTTCGGTTTCCCCTGCCAATCTTCATTCCAGCAATTGCTCCACAATCACCCTCACCTATCATCTGGGGCTGGTACAATAGGCCAGAAGTGGCCGCAGTACAAGGGACTTACTCCCACCACACTAGTATTAAATAAATTACTCAATATATTAATTTGTTTACGGTTTCTTTGAGGACATTATCAGTAGTTCAGACTACAGGATCCGCAGGACGAATGGGGATTCAAAAGTGTCCCAATCTGATGTACAAATCCGACATTTCCTTGCAGGTACCGGCAGAATAAAAGAAAAGTTTCAGTCAAATTCGAAACGCACACAACCAGAATACAAATCAGAAGCGACACGGACTGAGCTGACGTGCTCGGTGTAACCCTTCTTTAATAGGCAGCCACACTGTGGCTTTACATAGAATAAATATTTGATCATATTCCTGTGTTAATGGCCTCATCACGAAAGATATTCTTGGCTATACCCGTTATTAAACTGTACGTTGTGGTTCTTTAGTTTGGTATTCATTTATATAAGCAGCCTGTACAGCGTAGTCGGTATACCGACTGGCTACGGACTGGACGACTGAGGGGTCATGGTTCGAGTCCCTACAGCGTCAAGAATTAGCTCCACGTCATCCAGATCGGCTCTGAGGCTCACTCAGCTTCCTATTAAATGGGTTCCGGGGTAAAGCAGCCGGGGCGTGAAGCTCATCACTCACTTCAAACTAGTGCCGACCTCAAGAATACATGGATCTATACACCCACTTCCCCATACGTCTTCATGGTGTAATGCTTAATTAGTTAAGCACGTGGACAACTTCAACATTTTACCTTTACTTATTTACATTTCATTTATCGATACTGTAGGTAACACAGACTAAGTAGCGTCGAAATTAGCCTGATCAGTGAATAAATACTGGAATGGTTATAGGATAAAGAGGCCGTGGCATATTTTAGGTACTATCCTGGAGTCTGCCCTGAGAAAATCACGAAAACCCTCAGTCAGCCGGATACCTGCCGCTTATAAGTGTGAAGGGTACGAGGTTTCGTCCAGTTGTTGTTTGCCAATACAGTCGTGTCTCCTCGTATCCTGATTTACTGCCAGTCGCAAAGTGGCAACAGCAGGACAATTTCACGCCATAAATCCGCGTAACTTATTGATAGCTCGCCAGATGGCACGCAGCGTGCTCTCTGATAACGTAGCGTGTACCACAAAAGAGGTTCGTGCATGGTACCGGGGCAGGATTCAACACGCGCATCCGTGTTCGTGCTCGGTATACCAGAGATTTTTCCTTGGCACTACAGCCCCAGTGGGCCTAGGCCTACCTCCATGAACTTCTCCGTTCACTTCGGTTTCTCTAGACCTTACACATTCAGTAGGAATCTTTGGGCGGGTGATCAGCTCGTCGCAAGGCCTCTAGCTGTATATAAACACAGAAAAACTTACACACACAAACTAAACATCAATGCCCTGAGTGGGAATCGAACCCACGATCCCGGTTTCCAAGCGAGTGAAGACAGTATAAGCCTTAGACCGCTCGGCTACCGTGACCGACCACCAGAGAATTTACTGTACAAATATTAAGTTTCTGGACATTATCCATGTCCTGATTTTATTGCGTTGGCACCATATGGCGAATTTCCTCTACACAGTCATGATTTCTATCTTGATAGTTAACTGGTGCGAGGCCTCATACTTGTGGAGTTTTTATATTTCAAAGTTTTGTCTTCGCTCTCGCAGATGGTTTGTGCTGTGCTTGGTTTATATACTCTATCGTGGTGCTAGTACAGGTGTCCAGAGA